TAATAATAATTATATTTTTAAAAGTGTCTTATGAGGTAAGTGTATTTGGAAAATGCGTTAGTGCTGAATGGCACCTTCCACTTTGCCATTCTGAAGTATCTCTAGGCTCAGGCCTTATAGGATGTAAGGTAAGTGTAGAGGTTGTTCTGACCTGAAGCTTGTTGGCTTTCTATCATTTTCCCAGAAGGCAGCAGAACTGCTCTGTATTTCACTTCTTCCCCTTTACCGTGCTGCCTGTGTTGCTCTTCCTCTGCCCTCAGTAATGTGGAGAAGAAAAAAAAGCAGCTGAAGCGTCTAGAAGAGCAGTTGGCCAAGTTGAATGTTCAAGCCACAGACAAGGAGGAGAACAAGCAGATAGCTCTGGGCACATCCAAGCTGAATTACCTGGACCCCAGGATTAGTATAGCTTGGTAAGTCTTGGGCATGCTACAGGGCAAATGTTCCTTCAGCGACGTGCAGATCACCTAGCACTGCCTGGGGAGGGGGGATAAACACGCGTCTGAGCCTTTTGGAGGAAAGAATAAACTTTATTTCTGCCCTGAGAATCATAGAATGGTTTTGGTTGGAAAAGACCTTTATTATCATCGAGTCCAGCCATCGATCCAGCCCTATGTCTGCCACTAGACCATGCACAACATCTACCCATCTTTTAAACACCTTCACAGATGGGGACTCCACCACCTCCCTGGGCAGCCCCTTCCAGTGCTTGACAACCTTTACAGTAAAGAAATTCCTCCTAATAATGAACCTAAACCTCCCCTGGCACAACTTGAGGCCATTACCCCTTGTCCTATCGCTAGCTATGATGAAAAGAGGCTGATCCCCACCTTGCTACAACCTCATTTCAGGTAGTTGTAGAGTGCAGTAAGGTCTCCCCTCAGTCTCCTTTTCTGTGAACTAAAAAACCCCAGCTCTCTCAGCTCCTCACAATTCTTGTGCTATAAACCCTTCACCAGCTTCGTTGCCCTTCTCTGGCCACACTCCAGCCTCTCAATGTCCTTTTTGTAGTGAGGGGCCCCAAACTGCACAAAGTATTTGAGGTGCAGCCTCATCAGAGTACAGGAGAAAGATCACTTCCCTGCTCCTGCTGGCCACACTTTTCCTGATACAAGCCAGGATGCTGTTGGCCTTCTTGGCCACCTGGAGGAGGCTAGCAAAATTCAAAGCTAAGGCTTCCTTAGCTGCAAATAACTGTTCGCAGGATGGGTTGAGGGCAAGAAGGGGTCACTTTGCATGTCTTGGTTGGCAGTGGCACGCAGTTAATTTCTTAAGGAGCTTGTGGCTAAGGAGTTTGTGTGGGTGAAAGCTGCTGCACCCTGAGCGGAGAGGACCGCTGTGATGGGAGTAGACTGGGATGGGTAGCACATCCTCACCGCTATCTTGTGGTCTGTACAGGTGCAAGAAGTTCGGCGTGCCCATCGAGAAGATCTACAACAAGACTCAGAGGGAGAAGTTTGCCTGGGCAATTGCCATGGCTGACGAGGACTTTGAATTCTGAGCCTGTGTCTTTCACGTTATGTGGTGCTCATTTAGTGCTGTTGGAAATAATTTTTTTAATGTGCTGTTGCAGAGGTGGGGCTGGGGGGTTGTCTAATGAAAGAGTTTGATACGGTTATTTTGTGCCTTTTTTGGTATATAATAGCAAACACCCGGTTTCTAGTTGAAACAGGTATTTCTGACTTGAAATGCTCATCCTGACTGCAGTGACTTTGATGTGAACCTTTAATTCCTCTTCAGAGTTGCGAAGTGCTTTGGATTTTTTTTTTATTTCTTTCTCCAGAGTCTAGGAAGAAGATTGAATGAGAGCTTTAATTGTGCTGATAAACAAGATTAGACCTAATCCTATCTCCTTGATGTAGAGGAGCTGTGCTGCCCTTTTCAGGCTTTGCATTGGCTTGATGGGGAAACACAAGGCAATGACATCACTGAAACAGGCAGCTGCAGTATAAGACCTAGGCTTGGGTCAGAGATGTCCTGGGAGGAAGGAAAAAAAATCTCAGGGTTTTACATGTTGGGGTATTTTGTGCCCTTTCACCTACAGGAGAGGAGAAATTTGTGCAATTGTACAAAAGCAATCAAAATGGAAAAAGATGTTGTAGGAGGGAGCAAATGTCATAGCAGGAGGAGGAGAAGATGCTGAATTAAAAAGCAGGTTTCATGTTGGAGTGATAAAATTCACCTTGGCGTGAGCAAAGTGCACTTTTTTGTACATCACCCAGATGTGGTTAAACCTTGGTCTGGGAGAGGACATCTCATCTGGGGCCCTGCTTGCTTCAGGTGGCTCTGGCTTAGCTCATGGTATCACAAGCAGAAACTCAAGTGTCCAGCCACAGATTTAGCGATGGGAAAGGATAATGCTGGTTGTGGGGCTGGACCAGGCTCTGGAGGGATGTGAGCGTGCTGCAGAGTGGCTGGTACCAATTTTAGAGCTGTGCCTGCATTGGGATGACAGCTTTGTCATCAGGATGCATCCTTCTCAGTCTGCTCCCACTGGGTATGGAGCAGGCAGGGACCGGTAGCATAATCTGCTGGTGCTTGCTGCCTAATTGGCTGCTTTTCAGAGGAAAAAAATAAGCAAGATCAGCATGTACCTGGCAACAGTTAGCCTACCTACCAGAGAATTTCAGGTGTAAGCAAGCTGTTGCACTGGCAGCAAAGCCTTCTGGCATCTCAGGGCTGATGTTCAGGTCCTTATAGCACAAAGCTCTCCGTGCTTCCCATGTGTTTATTTACAGCCACTTGTTCTTGTGTTTAAACCATTGCTATTTTGGTTGGAAGTCGGGTACTTGAAATGCATTTCATTAAAACCAGAAGTTATTTTTTTCTGAGTATCAGTGACTGGAGGCTTTTTGTAACTCATCCAAGATGCGGTTTTGCTGTGAGGTGATGGGCAGAGCTCAGGGCTCAGTCTCTATAATGGGGTCTGTGTATGCTCAGTTGTCTGCAGGGGGTTAGGCTTGATAGCAAATTATTTACCTTCAAGCAAAGAACCTGTCTGTAGATCTCAAAAACCCTTTGTGCTTGGTCAGTAATGGCCCATATGCAAAACTGAGCCACCAAAATTTAATTGCTGCATGTCATGACAAATGTAAAGGGGAAAATGCATGGGTGAAGCCAATGCTGTTTTATCTCGCATCCACACTGGGGTGTGCTCCACCACTTGGCTGAGATGTGGCAGCTTGTGAAACTCTAACTGGATTGTCTGTCCAAGCCCCAAGAGCTCCCATTGGTTTTAATGAGACTCCTAAAGCAGGGATCTAAATCAGTCTGAATGGTGGCAAGATTTATTATTCTGGCAAAGGTAGACTGGTTATCAGCTGCACAAGCAATGGGCAGGAGCTGCCAAGCTTGTCTTGATCCCTGTGTTGGATTTGTACCTCTGAAACAGAGGTAACCAATTTGGTCTCAATGGATGGAGATGGTTTTTTTTTTCTGCTCATCCTGCTAAATGTTTTCTGGCTTTCAAAAGAAGTTAAATATTTGTCACTAACTGCGGTGGAAAGTTTGTTTCATGCTAAATCAGGGAGTAACTCTAGCCAAGCCCCTAGTGAAACAGTGCTCCTGTTTTCCAGTAGCAGGAAAAAAAGGAGCAAGATGCAACTTGGATGAGCACTGTGGGTGTTTCCACTGAACCAATAGATTTTTTTTTAATTATTCCCTAGAGGGAAAAGTGTCTCAAGCACTGTGTGTGAGAGAAAGAAGCTGCATCAGTAAGAGCAGCTGCAGCAGTTTGAACAGCTGCTGGTGGGAAGCAGTGGAAAAATCGCACCAGAAAGCAAATCCTACTGCAGCTTTGGGGGGGAAATTAGTAACTTAGTCCTCGGTCTCACCTCCAGCAGGTTCCCATCAGTGCTGTGACCCTCTGCTGGGTTAATGGGGTGGAAAGGCTGCGTAATTGCTGTCCCACATGGTGCTGTCCATCCTCAGCTGGATTTTGCTGGGGTGGTGGAACCACAAAGTAGGTGCTGGCAATATTTCATGCTTACACAGAATCACAGAATATCAGGAGTTGGAAGGGACCTTGAAAGCTCATCCAGTCCAACCCCCCTGCCAGAGCAGGATCACCCAGACCAGGTCACACAGGAACACGACCAGGTGGGTTTTCAATGTCTGCAGAGAAGGAGACTCCACAACCTCTCTGGGCAGCCTGGGCCACGCTCTGGCACCCTCACAGTATTTTTTCCTTATGTTCAGGTTGAACCTCCTATGCTCCAGCTTGCTCCCATTGCCCCCTGTCCTGTCATTGGACATCCCAGAGCAGAGCCTGGCTCCTTCCTCCTGACACTCGCCCTTTACAAATTGATCCCCATGAATGAGGTCTCCCCTCAGTCTCCTCTGCTCCAAGCTCAAGAGCCCCAGCTCCCTCAGCCGCTCCTCATAAGGGAGATGCTCCACTCCCTCCATCATCTTTGTGGCTCTGTGCTGGACTCTTTCAAGCAATTCCCTGTCCTTCTTGACCTGAGGCGCCCAGAACTGAACACAATATTCCAGATGCAGTCTCACCAGGGCAGAGTAGAAGGGGAGGAGAACCTCTCTTGACCTACCTAACCACAGGGCTGTGCTTTTCTCAACAGCTTCTCCTCTATCAAAGCATCCTGATTCTCTCCAAAAGGCCACACTTGGAGCAAAATTGAGGTGGTTCAACTCCAGTGAGAGCTCAGCAAATGAAGCTGATGGCCTTGTGTTTGCATCTTGTGTTGTGGCAGATGAGGACCAGGCTGGCACATGGGTTCTGTGCAATACTGAAGGGCTCGTTGGCCATGCTCAGATGTTTTGGATGTCAGGGCTGTGAAGACCTGCCAGTGTCAGCTAAATAGTAATTAGCTATCCTGTAGGAGCTTAAATGAAGCATCCTTTCCCCAAAAGGGTGTTGCCCCTATCAACCAGTTCTATGAGGCTTTGTCAAAAAGCTTAGTGAAACCAAGATTGGAAATCCAAGTGCATGGCACATATGAAGCAAAAGCAAGGTGGGGAATTGATGTGTTTTGCCAGGCATCAAATAACTCACATTGGGGTGAGTAACACAATATATTTGAAACAGCTAAGCTTTAAAGAGAAGCTGATAATTCTAGGGAGTGTTCTCCTGGCCCTTGGCCATAAGCAAGTGAGATACAGGTTGAAGAAGTTGAGCTACTTGCCATTGAGATCCCAGTGGTACGAATCAGCCGTCTGGCCTAATGCCCAATTTGACAGGGATTTTCCACTGCTCAGGACCCTGTGGGAGAAGGATCATGCCCCCATTGCGGATACCTTAGGGTAGGATCCCTCTCCTGGCCCAACAGTTTGGGGTTATTTGGCTACTCCAAGCAGTACTGGCATGCTTGGATGAACCTTACCTGCCTTGGCCCTTCCAGGGATGTTTTCAGCTCGGTTTGTTCAATGAAGTGCCTTTCCTGTAGGCACGTAAAAACCTGGGCTTTGATGCCTAAGTGACTTGGTAGCAAATAGTCAAGTTACTAACATTTTTCTGTCAGTATTTGATGGGTGAAAATCAGAAACTTAGCACGTTTCCTTTACAATTGCTTCCTTCTTTTTGTTATTTCAAAGAAAAAACAATGCAAAAAGGGGAGACCTGGTTTCAGGCAAAACCAGTAGTGATACTTTCCCCTATGATTTCTTGTGTTACTAATGTGCTTTTCATAAAAGCCTGTTGTTCATATTGATTCGGAAAAGACCTAAAGGCAAATTTACCAGGAACAAAGCTGACTGCTCATGCTGATACTAGGATGGGCTTAGAGCTGCTCTAGTTACATAATGGCACCTAAAAAAACCCAAACCTTCTGAGGGATGGAGAGTTTGTCTCTCTGCCTGCAGGCTGGGTACGTCCTGCACTGTGTGATGGCACAAGGACAGCACTGATACTGTGGCAGCTTGATAAGATAAACCTGTGGGTGGCAGGAGGTAGTGAGGAGTTCCTCTTGTCTTGCTTTGGCATCTGCTGCCTATGCCCAGCCTCCCCCCAGAAATGCTGAAGTTGGAAGGGTCTCTGGCAGGCTTGAGACCAACCTTCTTCTTGAAGGAGGGCCAAATTTGATTGGATTGCTCAAGGCTTTCTCCAGCCAAATTTCACTGTCTCCAGGGAGGGAGATTCCTCCACCATATTTCAGACTCCCTGCCCTGGCAAACTCTTTTATTTTACCTTCATAGAATGGTTTGGGTTGGAAGGGACCTTAAAGGTCATCCAGACCAACACCTCTGCCATGGTGAGGGACACCTCCCATCAGACCAGGCTGCTCAAAGCCCCATCCAACCTGGCCTTGAACAATTCTTCCTTATATCTGGTTGGAGTTTCCCTTGTTGCATCTTGCAACCAGCTGCTTGTCCTTTCTCTGTGCACCTCCAAGGATAGTCTGGCTTTGAACTTTCTATAGCCACCCCCTACTAAATAGCTGAAAGCAACAACTCAATTCCCTTTAGGCTGCTCCCCTCCAGCCTGCTCTGTTGCATGGGGTCACTCACACTCACATTTGGGACTTTGCTGAACTTCATGAGCTTCTC